CTTCTTTTTTTTTTTAGACAATTTCCTGGGGGGTCACAGGGGGGGGGGGGGGGCCCCCCGGTCCCCCCAAAAAAAGGGGCGGGGGGGGGGGCCCGGGGGGTTTTTTTTTTTCCTTTTTTTCCCTTAAAAAAGGGGGGGGCCGGGGGTTTTAAAATTTTTTTGGGGGGGGCCCCCCCATTCCCCCGGGAAATGGGGAAATTTGCCAAACGCCGGCGCGGGCCCCCCCCCCTCCCTTGGGGGGGGGAATTTTTTTTTTTTTTAGAGGGAAAATCCAAGGGGTTTTGGGGGGAAATTCCGGGGGCCCTTCCCCCGGGGTTTTTTTTTTCCCCCGGGGGGGGGTTCCCCCGGGGGGGGGGGGGGGCTTCCGGGGGGGGGGCCGGCCCCGGGTTTTAAAATTTTTCCCCCCTTTTTTTTTGGTTTTGGAAACCCCAAAACCGGGGGGCCCCCCCCCCCCCCCCCCCCCCCCGTGAGGCGATTTCCAATAATTGCGGCATAGTTGCCTTAGACCAAGTGGGGAGCTCATACGCACCCCCGTCCCTTGAACATCGACCTCAACTACAGGGCCTTCAAGGTGATGTGCGACGACTTGGAGCTGGGCCTTCGAGAGTGTGCCGCCAAGGTGGTCGAAGAGCCCTTCGAGCAGGCGGCCCGTCCCGCCGACGCCTTCCGGCTGGGAAACCACCCGGCCTTTCGCGGGATAGGCGGCACCGGCGCCGGCGGGGCCGGGGAAGACGGGGACTACAACGAGGCAGCGGGGATAGCGGAGGCCGAGGCTGCGGAGGTCGCCCGGCGAGAGCAAGAAGCGCTCATCGTCAAGGTGTGCAATATTCACCAACTCAGTTACCCACACCCTCTCGTTCGGACCCGCGTACCGGGGCGTGTGCATGAAACTGTTGGTAGAGAGTATCTGCTGTACTACCCATGTTCCGTCTCGAAAGAGTTTTGTGGTCACCTGCTGTTGACCGACGAAGGAAAGCGACACGAAGAAGTATGCCCCCCCTCCCCCCCCTCTCCCTTCGATCAATCATCTCAATTCACCCATCCGCGTGGCCCCAAAACTCATCAACCACAATCCCAATGCCTTTCTTACTCCCTTGCAATAATGTATGTCCTCTGGCCGCCACTCAATACATACATGACGCCGTAATTTGCCACGTAAGGACTAAGCGCGGTTCCCCCACCACCTCCGTTTTTTCCCCTCTCGTCATGTATGACGCCGACATGCCAGGACAACGCACGGTTCCCACACAACCTCATCACGGCCAAGCGGAAGAACCGGCGCACCCAAGGTTCCGCCGCGCCCCCCGCTCCCGACGTCAACGATGAGGGCGCCTTCCCGGACATCAACTTCGCCTCCAGCGCCGCCGTGCAGCAGCAGTCCAGGAGGGCGGCAAAGGGGGGAGGGCGCAGCTGGGGGTGGGGGGGGTCAGGTACCACCGGGCCCTTCCCAAGGAGGCGGGCGGGCTGATGGGGGGGGGGGGGAGCACCCCGGGGGGGGGAGCGATGAGGGTGGTTGGGATGGACAGGGGCGCATCGAGGAGGCTCAGATTGTTAGTGGAAGGTGAGAGGAGGACGGGCGTGCAGGCGGGTGTGGGGGTGTGTGGGGGGGTGTACTCATAGTCGTGCATGCCGTAGTCGTTAGACCATTGACCTCGCATCCCTACAAAGCCGGGACGGAGCACGCCGGGTTCTCACCGGACCATGCTCTCACATCACCAAGCGCGAAGCACCGTGAGGTATTCGGCGAGTCGCATGAAGGGTGAGCTGCATCCTGCTAAGGGTGTTCGGCATCTTGTGCTTACTTCCTTGCGTACGGATGGCAGCTGCGTATTACTTAATTTATTTTCTGGTGCTTTCACTTCCAGAGACAGTTGTAAGCACTGTGTAACTGCCTCGAGGGTGCTTGACCAATTTAACACGACGTGGTGCGATCATCCCCCTTGCGCGGAGTGAGGTTTCTCCACCCGCTCAACATGATCTACTCGACCACCATTATGGTTACCGCCAAAAAAAAAAACAGAGGTAAAAAAAACGTGAACCTGGTTGCCGAGTTCACGAAGTGAATTGGTTTTTTTTACAACGTCGTTGCCAAGGGAGGAAAACCCAATCCCGATGGCAAACACCGGGAGTGTGTGGGGGGGGGGGGGGGGTATGTTGTTGTTCTTCCAAGGCTGCTAGACTGATGGCATGTATCACCAGGGCAGTTAGTTTGATGTGCTCATGTGTGATTGTTGACATTTTTTGCTGGCCGTCCTACCGCAAAGCTTGACCTAACCTGGCTGGCGTGTGTGGTGTTCACTTCTCGAGTCTTTTTTCGCCGGGGGGCAGCTGAGACTTGTCTATTTTTATTCTATATATTTGTTATCGTATTGGCCGGGTTCCGTGGACACGTTCCTTGTGCTACATCCGTTTCTGAAGGCACTGCTTGCGAATACTTGCGTTGCTCGGTTTTTGCCCCCTCTTCTTTCGCTGCCGCTTTTTGCCGCCATTAGCCGTCAGCATGTTGAGCAACATGTTCCTCTGTTACCAAGTGACCACCGCCACCATTGCCCCCTCCTTTCGTACCCATCGTCATCATTCATGTTTCTCCTGTTGTGTTTGCCGCTGTATTCCACGCGCTTCTCCTGCACCAGAGGCGTATGCCGGAAGCTCGGGCAGGGAGAGGTGGGCTACGTGGCCACCACCCACACCATGTCAGGCGTTTACCGGAAGTGGGACTGTCAGAGGCGGAATCCCGTGGATACCACGTGGAAAACCACCCCGAAGAACAAAGAAATGGATGAAGATTTAACCAACCGGGTCGTTCCAGGGGCGTCCAAAGGGCAGGTATTTACGACTTCTACGATCGCGTCTGTTCCAACGATATGAATACTGTGAAAAAACGTTCGTTTTTGCAAGCGAAACACGCTTTTGTAAAAATCGCTTTTATAACACGCTTTTCTTTTGTGAAACAAAAGGCATCGGCTCTTCAGGAAATAGAAATTGAGGGATTCTACTTCACGAAATGTTAATGTTGGAAGTTGAACCCCAACCATCCTATACCTATGTTCGAGCATTCCTACACTAAAAAGTGGTCGCGGATTCTGTTGCCTGCTTGCAATCCCGGCACGATCATCCTTGTTGTTTTGCCAAGCTGTTTTGCTGCCGTTTCAGAAATATCTTATGCGCTCTCTTGAAGTTGACTCCGACCCTGGGTAGGCCAGGGTCGGGTAGGTCACTAAAGGGGCCCCTTGTCCGCATCGTCTCCTGCTGCACTTCCTCCTTAGTCTACAAGCGTACTTGGTGTCCACTACTGTTTTCCCCAAAAGCCCTCGTAATTTCCTTCCCTCCCAACAAAAAAAAAAAAATACGTTAATAATTAAATAACATCATACGCACCACACCGATATTGCTTCCGATATGGTATGACGCAACGCAGGTTCCCTGCTGCTCACATTCTGTCGTTCGTCCACGCTCAAGTCAACGAATGACTAGACCGATAAAGTTTTATTTAAAGTAGAAGACAAAAGAACACCTTCTGTTTGTTCATTTCTAACCCCTATTTTAAGCCCGCCTCTTTCAACTTGAACTTTTTCAGGTGGCTTTCCAAGCTCGAGGTTTGGAACTAAACTCGAACAAGGCATCGGCGCGCGCGAAGCCCCGCGGCCGTCGCAAGGCCGGGGGTGGCGGCGGCGGCGGGCTGAGGACTGTTAAGGAGGAAAAGGAGGAGGCGTGGGAAGCGGCCTCTCGGAAGAGACGGGGGCAGAAGGAGACGAGGGTTGCGCCGCATTCGTACGTGGTGAGTACAGAAAAAAACAATGGTCGGGCCGCACTCATACTTGGTGAGTACAGAAGGAATCATGGGTTGGGCCGCACTCATACTTGGTGAGTACAGAAGGAAACATGGGTAGGACCGCACTCGTACGTGGTGAGTACAGAAGGAAACGAGGGTTGCGCCGCAGTCGTACGTGCTGAGTACGGCATTGCTCGGGCTGGATCTCTTTGCGTGATGGCTTAAAACAGTCTCAAACATGTTCGAGATACAGCCGTGATCCCTCAACTGTACCTGAAAAAAAACTTGAATACATGCCTGCGAACGGGGTACTACGTCGAACGGGTAAGTAGTCTTTCTACCATTTTCGAAGGAGGAACCAAGGGCTGCGTCGCACTCATATGTGGCAAGTGTGTGCCTGGTTCTTGAGTAAGGCACACGTATACCTAAAGGTGGGTATCCCCCAACATGGTAGTCCATTTTATTGGCCTTTGTGTTTCGCTGTTGTGGATCTAGTGCTGCTATGTACATGTCTTTCTAACAGGCAAATATTCTCATGAAAAGAAAGACTGCCCGTTGAAGATGATACCCCGTTCGGAGCGATGTGTTGGGAGTCTTGACGGGATGTGACCGGGCCTATTTTGTTTGTTTTTCAACAAAAAAACTGCCTGTGTTGCTTCTCTGTCGTTTGTTTTGCATCAACAACACTGCCTGTGTTGTTTTCTCTGCTTTTTTTTTCGTGCTTTTTCAGGTGAGAAAAACAGCTGCGGCGCCGTTCTGGCTGTCGCCCGGGGTGCAATTCGGCCGTTCTAATTGCAGAGGCTGGTTTCCCACCCGCCAGGACTGGTCCGCTCGCGGCATCCCGCAGTGCATCTATGTTCCTCTTGAGGTAAGCTCGGAGCTTTGGCCTGTTGCTGTTGCTGATGATATCGTGGCTGGCGTTGTTGTTTTGGTGGTGGTGGTGGTGGTCGTGGTGGTCGTGGTGGTGCCGGCAGCACGAGCTTGATCTTCATGTTTTGTGGGTTGCTTTTGGGTAGGGCGGCCGCTGCTGTTCCTGTTGCCGTTGTTGTGTTTTTTTATGAAGATGGGGGTGGTTGTGGTGATGGTGATGCTCCCGCCATCTCGATCTCCGTGTGTTGCGGGATTGCTTTCGGAGTAGGGACGTACCGCTGCTGCCAAGCACCGTTCGTTGCGTTGTTTCTGAGCAGTACGCGCACCCCCACGTGTTGTGGAACCCCAGCTCACCTCGCCCTGCTGGTCTCCCAAGCACACACAAAATTTCGCCGACGGAGACCCAGGGTGCGTTTTCGCCTCTACCGCCGCATGGCAGATGAAGTGCTGTAATATTACTGCTGGCTTTTCGTTGTTTATTCGGATGCACACCGACCCCTCGTCGTCTCTAGACCAGCTCTGATCGCTGATGCCACTGCTGTGCGCTCCCAGAACATAACGTTTTTAGTCTTGGACTAGAATGCCACGAACGAGATGTATGTGTTTGTTTGGGTGGTGGAACAGCTGCACAGCAGTCAATCTAACGTGCGTGGTCTTTCTGCTGTGCGTTTGCGAGCACGAAGATGGGTTTCATCTGTTGGTGATTGAGCAAGTCGAATCGGCTTTCTATTTCGTGTTTGCATCAATTCTGTGTACCGTGTGCAATAAAACCGTCCTGCAGCATTCGATGTAGAAGATGTGTTAAAGTAGCGATCGAATAAGGTACACGGGCTTTCAAATTTTTGCGTTTGCATCAAACTTGTGTATGATACATGCCATCGAAAACGTACGGCCGTGCTACAGCCTTCGACCGAAGATCGAGTCGAAGCGATGCGGTTGGGGCACGAGCGCGTGGTCGGGTTGACCTTAGAGGAGGACGAAGAACGCCTCATGAGGATTGCCATCAGGGAGTCTGCCGCGGAGTCTAGACGAGGTACCATGTCTATTTTACACTTTGTACTACATGTGTTGATAGATAGGTAAAAGGTTGTGGTCTAGACGAGGTAACATGCCTATTTGATCATTTCTACTATGTTTTGATGGGATGAAGGTTGTGGTCTAAACGAGGCACCATGTCTATTTTATCGTCTCTACTACATGATTGCAGGGTGAGGTTCATTGTGTGATAGCAACTGGAACAACGACCTACGTTGTGTTTTTTCACTAGCGCTCGCTGTTCTCCTTCCATGTGTGTCTTTGGAAACCGAAATCGTGGATTACTAGTGAAGTGGTTTGATGTGGGCTTATGAATGTCACAACAGCTTGTGAAAGCGCGGACTAAGTCTATCGGTTTGATCTTGCTCGTGTTGTAATGGCACAACAGTTTACGACAGCGCACACTAGCCTATTGGCTTGATCGCAGCTCCCATTGCAAACGTCACAACAGCTTACGAAAAGAAGTACGGTACGGAGGCCGAACGCGAGAAGAGGCGGGAGGCTCAGGCCAAGGCGAAGGTCAAGGCGATGGCGGAGCGCGAGAGCCTGCAGCGCGACGAGGAGAAGCAGCTCATGGAGGTCATCAAGGCTTCCCTTGTAGAGGTGCGGCGGGTTCATCGTCGCGTTGTCGCCCGCTCGCCTGTGTGCTCTGCCCGGGGGCGGGCGTGTCGATGCCGTAGGAATGTGATGCCCGATACCTGTGCAGGAGTGCTGTAGGCGCCCCGCCGTGCTGTAGAGGGGGTCCCGTGGATTGCCCCGCTGTGGAGGGGTGGTCCGTCGTGGAGGGGGTTTCGTGAATTGCCCGCATGCACAGTGGCATCCTATGCAAGCTACGGTACACGAGCATAACGGCCCGATTTGAGGGTTCCGGCCATTCTTGTTGCGGTACCGCTGTGCTTGGTTTGTGGGATCGCGCGTGAAATTGCCCGTGGAAGCTGCTGTCACTGCGCCTGTGTTGCTAAACTATTAGCGGTGTTTGTTGCCGTCTCTGTCACGACTGTTTAGTTGAAGCACTTTCGTCTTCACAATATACGTACTGCTGTGCGTACAACACGAAGTTGTCTTTTTTTTCGCAAGGCAACGAAAGAGTAGATCTCCTTGTATCCAAGCAACATTTTGTTGCTGTCGTTGGGTGGTCGCAGTCGTTGGGCGCTGGCGAGAAGGACGATCGTGACGTCATCGCCGCCCTCGAAGCCTCCAAGAGGGATAGCGAAAACAACGCCAGGGAAGAGGGAGAGGATCCGCACGTGTTGAAGGTCATGGCCGAGTCTAGGTGGGTAGGTTTTGAAGCTTTAGATGGAAGGGGTTCTGGGCCAGTTGATGGATGTACCACCTCCGGTGTCGGTGCCGCGCGCGGAGAGATAAGAGATCTCCCATCCGCTTTGCTGCCCACCACCGGCGGCAATGCGCCATCGTGACCAACGGACAAAGAATAAAAAAACAATCTCTTATTCCTAACCTGCCACTTATGGCACGTGTGGCCCATCTCCCCGTGTGTTTATTTTTTCTATTTTCCTTGTTTTCGTTCGCGCACGAGGCGGCGCTGGGCGATATCTACATGGTAGTACCGCCGTCATTGGGTTTCCAAGTTTTAATAGTCTTCTGGAGGCAATTCTTCTTTGGTTTCGGCACCCACGCCTGCTGTCGGGCATTTACGTTTCATCCTTTCCCTCATTGCGAACCCCTCACCCCCCCCCCCCCCCGCGGGGCTTCCCCTTTCCGGAGGGAACACCAAACGATGCCAGAACTGCGGGGAATTTACGGGGACCTGTCTAATGTTTGGGCCCAATTTCCAAACGCAACGGAAAACAATACCAAAACAATTTGGTAACCCAGAAAACAGGGCAATCACCACCCCCCTCCCAACCAAACCCCGGGGGCACCCCCTGTAATAAAAAAACAATCTGTTTCCAACACGATATCCGCAGCGCCCCCGCCTCCACCCCCGCCTCCACCCCCGCCGCCGCCACCGACTGCTGTACCGATGGCACCGGATTGGCTAGTGTCGGAGTTGCCCGTGCCGGCTCCGGCCGGCGCAGGAGGGTTCGTGCAAGCTCCGCGGAAGGGGTACCAAGGGCAAGCATATTCTGCTGGGATGGATCGAGGGCATGCTGCAATGCCGCCAACACCACGTCCCCCCCCGCCGCCGCCGCCGCCACCACCACCACCGCCAACACCGCCCGTGTATGCGCCGCACGCCACCGGCGGCGGCGGCGGAGGCGTCCATATGGGGACTACCCACCCCGGTCTTGAACCGACGATGGCGCAACACGCCTACAGCGTGCAGCAGCAGCAGCAGCAGCAGCAGCAGCAGCAGCAGCCGATGAGGATACCAGCCAGGTTCGACGACGGCAACGTGGGCGTGCCTCCACCCCCACCCCCGCCCGTGCCGGTTGGCGTGCCCCCCTCGCCCTCGGTCCAGGGGCCACCCGCGCCGCCGCCGCCGCCAACTCTGGACCACCGGACGGAAGCGACGCCGGGCGCCTTGACTGGGCGGCAGCCCGCCTCCTCGCAACAGGCGATTCTCCACCATGGCACCCCTCCGCTTACCGCCCAACAGCAGCCATGGCCAGAGGGTGGCGGCGCAAAGCTAAGCGGGCACACGATGATGAATGGAGCACCGCCTCCACCCGACGACAATGAGCGGGACGGCTTGGCTGCTGCGGGGGGGGCGGCGCAGTTGGCCGGGTGGGCAGTGCGCGGTTCTGCCACCTGCGGAGCCCCGGGGGGGGGCGGCGTGTTGCCGCCGGCGCCGCCTGTCCAGAAAGCGGCGTGGGGTGCGGCGGGGCAGGCGAGCGACGGACTGTCGGCGGAAGAGCGGGAACTGAAGGCCGTGCTTGAGGCGTCAAGGATAGCGGAAGAGACCAGGCAGCGGGAGGACGCGGAATCCAAGATAGCCATGGATGTGAGCTCGGGTCCGTTTTTTATCTGTAGTTGTTTTTTTGGACGAGGCACATGTGTTAGCCTAGGCTAGTCTTTGTTGCATTTTGACTGTTAGTACAATGTGTCTGGCTGTCATCTGTACAGGCCTTCGAAGGTTAAGGGATTCACGGACGGGCGACCTCGATAAAGTCGTGTGTTTGCCCCCCTTTTGACCACGCGCCGCCCTTGCTTGCAGTGCCCCTCCCTCTCAGGTTCGCTTCCTCGGTGTCGCTCAGACGCATTCATGTACACAGCGGAAGTGCTGATTAGATAACACGCCTCCCTGTATGTGAAACCTGCCTGTGAAGTAAACTCCCGCCCGATCCCACCCCTGGTCCCGCACTGTCGCAGATGGCCTTGAAAATGTCCATGATGGAGACACCAGCAGCCCCTTCCAGCGGAGAGCGTTACGGGCACGGTCGCGGCAATTACTACCAACAACCGGCGGCTACGACGGGCTACCCTGCCCAGCCGCCCCCCTTGTCAACGTCAGCAACGGCTAACGGGTTTCGACCTAAAGGAGGCGGGTGGCAAGGACAGCAACAGCCCCCCCGCCCAGCCCCGAATGCGGGCTACTCTCCCATGGCCACAGCAGCAGCAGCAGCCCCGCCGCCGGTGGCGTCGACCGCGGTGTCGCCAAGGGCCCCGGGAGCGTACTCGGCGGCAGGCCGGCCGCTCTCGCCGCGGCAGCAGGGGGCCCCGTCGCAAGTGGTACCCACCCGGCCGCCGCCGGCGGATGGAAGTGTGGGGGGCGGTGGCGGGGAGAGCGCGGAGGGGGACGAAGAAGAGGATGGGGCTGCGCGGGAGCTGCGAATCGCCCTGGAGGAGGAGGAGCAGTACTACGGGGCCAAGGACGCGGCCGGGGCGGGAGGGCAGTCGCCGCCTTCGAAGGCTGGCGCGAGCACCGGAGGAGGCAGGCAGCAGGAGGACGAGCTGGCTTGGGTGCTGGAGCAGTCGCGGCTGGAGGCGGAGATTCAGAAGTCTCGGATGGCGATCGCCGAGGAGGGGGAGGAGGAGATGATGGCCAAGGTGCTGGAGGAGTCGCGGCTGGAGCAGGAGAAGAGGAACGCCGAGCAGCTGGAGTTCCAGAGGGTAAGCCCAGCGCGCGGTGTTGTACCGTAGTAGCCTTTGACGTTTCCTGCAGACGTTTGCGTGGACGATGGCATTTGTTGCCGAGAGCTTTGGAGTCGTGCTCGCACAGAACGTGAGGAGAGGGATTGGGGAAATGATAAAGCGTCCTTTCATGAAGTAGAGGTCCCTATTCAGTGCCGTTTGAATAGTGCCGGTGATTTCTGGCACTAAACAGGGAACTTCCGCTTTATACAGTTTTTTAGCCAAGTAGACACGTGTCTAATGTGTACAAGGCTTGCATATCGGTGCTGTTATAGTTCTAATGGTATGTTGTCGTGCCTCATGTATGCTCTCACCGATACGTGTGTCGAGAGAGGCTTTTGTGGTGCAGATGTGCACGCTGGATGCCGCGAAGGAAGGACGAAGAATCCTGTCTACCGGACCTTCTTGTTTTTGGTGTTTCGCCGCCTATCGGTTGCGTGTTGCGTGCTGTTGGAACACACCCACCGACGTGTTGGGCGGCTCAGGGAGCGTTCCTCGCTTCTCCGGCTGCGGCCGCGGCCCATGTGGGGCTGTTTTGTCAGCTCGACGACGTCCAGTCTGCAAGCATGGGCAAGAACTCTCCACGACTCCTCTCCTTGAGTCATCTCGTCTCGCCCCGTCATCTCGTCTTGCCCGAAAGCTCACACGCACGCACGTCTTCTCTTTTTTGGCCGCGTGCGGGTTTCCAGGCTATGCAGGCGTCCCTCGGTTCGTGATTGTGGCGTGATGTCTGACGGTTGGTGGGTGTGGCTAGCCGCAGCTGAGATGCTCGCCCGGCGTGGATCTGGGCCATGGAGACTAGTGGCGAGGCCGGCGAGGTAGCTCGAACAGGAAGCTTTAGATGCACGCAACAGGCTCACGGCGACGGGGGGGTGGCCGGGATCAACGAGCTTGTCCGGCGAGGTCACAACAACAAACACAATCTGACTGTAAGGCAGTTTTTCTACCCCATGTAGTTGAGCTTTCTTCGTTTTTGGGAGAATGGTTTTGTTCCTTCGGCTGGAGTGCTGTCAAATGGCAGCTCGAGACTGTGGGGCGAGGGCCAGAGGGAGTTTGCTGGGAAGGGAGGGGTAAGCACAAAAGATGCACTATTTAGAACTGTACCTGCTCTTTCTGTTTAGTCTGAAACGATCGCGCACCACGCGCTCGCCCTCTTTTCTATGAGTCCTGTTCGGAGTCGTTCGTTTATTTGTTGACAGGGGCGATGTGTGTGTGCGTGTTTGCAAATGAGTTTGGATCACCACCGTATGTCGATGATGCGTACCTACCTGCCTGTTGTGGTTGTCCCGCAAGGGAAATATCGGTGTAGTCAGAAGTTTTCTGCGGCGGTGCGGATGTTAGGTTCGACCGGCGGGGATAGTGAGTGTCATTTTTGTTCGTTTGTTTGGGAGGAGGTCGCGTGCTGCCTTGGGAGAGATACGGTTTCTCGCGTATACCCCGCGTCTTGTCTGTCTCTCTTGGTATTTAGCACCCTCGTCATCCCCGGCGTTAGTTAGCGTGATGGCTGTTTTTTCCTTGCACCCCCAACGAAGGGAACGCGACCCGTTTCCCACGGCACGCGTGTGCCGCAAGCGTATTACAACCGACCAGGGACTGTTCATGTCGGCCCGTTGTGTAGTTCGATTCTTCTTGCTCGTCGTCTTCCCTACGGTGTGATTGTTAGTTCATGAGCAAGCATGGTACCTCGTAGTAGTTCCTGGAATTTGCCGGGCCCCCGCTGACCACTTCCGACGATGTTATGAGTCTGAACACCGGCACGGGTAGGGTGGTGTCGGGGACGCAGGCGTTCTCGCTGTTTAGCACCAGTGGATGGGGGACGTCCAGATTATCAACGCTAGGCTACGCCGTTAGTGGTCCTTTCGAGTTTGGCGTTCCCGTGTGACGGTGCCCCTCTTGCTTGAAGCGGAAGGGATTGTGTGTAGAGTATATAGCCGTTTCCAGCAACGATATAGTCGTCTGCTGGGCTGTTTGGTGGCCAGTGTCGTTCTGCTCTCTACCGTCAACAGACGGGGTGCTTACTCATTGCTGGTCGACTTTGCAGTTGCCAAGTCGTGCAGTAGATGCGTGTGCCTTTGGATTTTGATAGATCGTGTTTTGACAACTTATGTACACGATGCATATATATGTCAATAGCAGCTGTGCGTGTTTTGAGGCTATGTCAAATCGTTGCGTGGGTTGCATGTAGTCCTTTCGTCAGCATTTTTTTTGCGGCTCTGCCGGCAGGGTACCAGTAGCATGCATGTACCATCATCAGATCGGTACGATAGGGGGAGTTTGGGTATACTGCAATAGCGCGCAGCAAACGTGTGTGTACAATGCGTGCGCGCTTTATTTACTCTTTGTTTCGGTGTCCCTGACGTGTGGGTTTGTCCTTATTGATTAGTGCCTCTTTTGTGTGCCGGCGGTACGGGATGGAGTACGCCCGTATGTGACTCACGATTGATTTTGCACGCTCTTCCCGCTTGACAGCGAACGAACAAGCGAGAGGTCATCGATCGATGGTCTTCTTGGCGTTAAAAGCAAACCCAATATAATGGATAATGGATGTCAGCTGCCAGGGACTGAAAAAATCACCTCCATCTTCTATCTTCTACTATTATATTATTGTTGCCTTTCCTGCACAGAAATACACCTCTTCGAGCCACATGAAAAGTAAGCGCCTCTCATCATGTACTCCTTTCTATGAAACTCCTACGTAGGGTACCGACAACAACGTAGTCTACGTAGACTACAAGTTTTTTAGCTGTGGCAGCAGCATACAACAGACACAAAAATTCGACGAACTTCTTTCGTTTTCAGTCGCATACACGCTTAGTGCTTAGCAGCAGTGACGCGTGAATGACGGCCTTCATTGGCACACTTGTACCTGCTGTTGCCGACTACCAGGTACACATACATTGTACGCATCGACTCGAGGGGACCGGGTGGTAGACTACTACCAGACGTACATGTCGACTCAAGGAGAAGACTCTTATTTCAATAGATGCAAGCACTTCGAATTATAACATTACTTCTACCTCTTCGTTCCTATTTTCCTCTCTATTCGAACCCCGCCCACACCCTCCGTCCGTTGCGCACAGCGCACTACAGACACACGCATATAGGAACAACCCATGGTTGAGCTTTTGTTCTCCGGCCACACCGGGGGTTGAGCCACAGCCACGATGCGTACACATCTCAGATGTTTCTTCCGATGGTGCGCCGCTCTGTTTCGAATCTTTGTCGAATATAAATCCGCTCCCGAATGACCCAGCTGGTCGCTACCAGATGGTTGAAAAGCCGAAAACACCAAACTGGCCGTTGTCTTGTATATATGGCCTGTTTCTGGTTTCCCGCAGGGGAGATATCGCTGTATTACATTGAATACTGCTGTGGGAATCAGAGAAACGCAGATAAGTCTGTCGTCCACTTATATATATGGGTCAACTGCAAATTTGTCCTGCGGACTCTCGCGAGAGCTCCGTTGGAAAAGATGAATCCGATGTGTTGGGGTTGGGCACGAAAAAAAGAACCCGAAACGGCTCGGACATTATATAAAAAAGAAGCGGGCAGGACAGCGGCACAACATTGTACTTGAGATTACTTGCGCCCTGACGTCGGGAGGTCGGGACGAAACAAAAGAAGGCTCTTTATTTGTGTCACTTTGTGTATGTATCGGTTATTGCTGTGGGCTTTGCCGCACACACCCCCCACACAACTCTTTCTCGTATAAATCGGCAGGGTGTGCCGCTGCCGCCGCCGGAATAGCGCGAAGAACGGCGCGACGACACCGAGAAAGAGATCCCTGACGTCGTGGCGTGGCAGAGGGATCCTCGCACATTGTGTGCAGCTGGCTAAGGAACCTGCGGACGACCAAGCTGTGAGTGAGCTGTGAGTACCAAAGGTAGCTGTCCTCTGTATAGGTTGGATGGCCGGTGCCTGCCTGTGTGTGTGTCTGTGCCTTGCACGCTTATAACATTTTATTTCGGTGGCGGAAGCAAGGACATGCCAGGAGGGTAACTTGGCGCATGATGAGGGATGCACGGGCACACAGCAGCAGTAGCGTCGGCAGGGATGTGTGACACTCAAAGCCGAGAGGCCGAGAAACGAGTGTGGCATGTTGCAGGGTCCATCCAGAAGGCGGTGTGACACTGCGTGACTTTTACAGAGTCACTGGCCTCCCCTTTCGCGGCTGTTTTACCGTCTACAGCAGTACCAGTTCATCGAGAGAGAGAGAAACTTGTGCTTGAGGGGATGATAGGTTACCCAGTACCCGCTACCGGGTGACCAGCAGACGTCGTGTGTGTGCTCCTACTACAGCAGTACCTTCTTTTCTCCTCTGAAAAACTGCTGTCTGCGCAGAGTGCGGGCGGTAGCGGTAGCGGCAGCGGCATGTTTTTGTCTTTCTTGCTCTTTTGTATACACAGAACTTTAGAATTGCTCTGCTGTCGTTGCAGCTGCTTCTGCTTCTGCCTGCCTGCCCCGTGGCCATGTGCATTTTGCTGCCGTGCCACAAAAAAAATCCCCCCGGATTCCCTGCGCCAATACGCGCTCAACTCCCTGTACCATCGGTATTTGTGTTGTTTGTTTTCTCTTCTTCCGATGTCTCCCACGAGACCCACGTCAATGTATTTACTCTGGCTCCACCGCACCCCGCCGCTGTTGCTGTCAGGTTTATTAAAAACCACAGGGCGAAGCCGTTGGGTGTACAGATCCAAACAACGCAGGCAGCAAGTACAGTGAGGGCGACAGAAGTTTTTGTGGCTGACGAGGAGGGGAGGGGGGGCGGGCATGGGGTGGAGCTCCTGCGGCACCCAATGGAGGGCGCGGTACCGCCGCCGCTTCCTGCTCTCATGCCTGGCGCTGTTAGCCCCGGCGGTGGTGCCACCGGCGGGGGCCCAAGTATCGACGACAACATGCGGCAGCACCTCGCCGCTCCGAGTAGAAACCGTGGCAGAAGCCGGTGTACTCGGCGCCGCCGTTGACTGCACGGACGGCGGGACGGTGGAGGCCGTTTGGGCGGGGACGGTTACTCTCACCGCTCCAATTTCCGTCGGGGCGGGGACGTTCCTGTCCATCACCGGAGAAGACGACTCGGCGGAGGTGCTGGGCGGCGGCCAGACCCAGATGTTCTACGTCTCATCATCGGGAGGCCTGACGCTGACCGATCTCAGGCTCTCGGGAGGAAGCGCTGCAAGCGGCGGGGCTGTCTACGCCAGCGCGGCATCGGTCGCCCTCAACAATTGTGTCTTCGACGGCAACTTCGCGACCGCCGGGGACGGCGGCGCCGTGGCGGTGGAGGGCGGGGACCTGACAATAGTCGGGGGGGAGTTCTCCGGGAACAGCGCAAGCGGTAACGGTGGCGCCGTTCTCGCCACCGACGCTGCGGTGGTCATCCAGGACGGCGCCCGGTTCGAGGGCAATAAGGCCGTCGAGGGAGGAGGGCTGTACTGCGGAGGGGCGGAGAACTCGACGACGACGACAGTCCCGTCATCATCGTCCGCCGCTGCCGCCACCTGCTCCCTAAGCGGAGCGGTCTTCGGGGCCAATAACGCCTCCAGCGAGACCATCGTCGACTACGACCTGATCGAGGCGCCGTGGGTCACCCTATACGGCGGTGGCGCGGCCGCCTTCTACCGGGGGGTGGTTGACATCACGGGGTCGGAATTCCTGGGGAACTACGCGCAGGTCTCTGGCGGGGCTGTGTACGGCGGCACCGATTCCGTCCTGACCATCGACGGCTCCAGCTTCGAGGAGAACACCACGCCGGGGTACGGGGGGGGGCTAGCGGCGTCTTCGGCTGTCCTCGGGGGAGACACGCTGCTGAGGAACAACTCAGCCACGTCGAACGGGGCCGGGGTGAGTTTCGTTGTTTGGTTTGTTACAAACAATATACTTATGTACAGCAGTAGTCTCAGGGTTGTACTTGTAGTTGTGTTGTTTTTATGCTGTTTGTCTTGTCTTTACTTGGGTGTTGTTTTGTTCTTCCGCAAGAACGGCAGCAGCAGAGCATGGAAACACGCTGCTGCTGCTGCTGCTGCTGTTGCTGCTGTGGTTAGAGTTTTTCGGCACTTTTCTCTCGCGGAGGTTCTGATGAAAGCCGTCGCGTGTTGGTTATTATTGCTGTCATCCCCCTGAGCCAGCCGCTGCCGACACAGACGGTCGCGAGTCGAAGAAAAGACGAGGGGGGCAAACGCCCTTCGAAACCGGAACCAACCATGTATATTTCGCCCCTTCGCGCCTTCTCACTCCACGTGTTTGGTCGGTCGCACATTGTTGTTTCATTTTTTCCATGCATACTTAAAAACGAAAAACACAACAATTCCATCTCATCTATCCACGGGCAGGAAGGAGTGCGGAAAAGGTGACCAAGACCAATGACTATGTCATTGTTCATTGTTCTGTCGTTAACAGTAAGTTCCATGCGTGTTCGGCTCGGCATTTTCTTACCCGGAGAAAAAGGGAAAAAAATCCTCTTTCCCTTTTTTTTTTCTCCGCGAGAGCTGATCCTCGGACTGACGCGCACTCAGACCGCGGGCATGTGTATTATCCAGGGGTGTTCAAGGAGTAGAACCGCTCCACAGAGCGTTTTTTTTTTTTGTGCTTGAAGTTCCACGGAGCGGAGCGTTTTTTTTGCGTTTGAAAATATCACAGAGCAGGGCGGAGCGGTTTATCTGAGGGTAGAAGTCTCACGGAGCGGAGCGTTTTTTTTTTCCGTGTCATGGAGCGGGTTTGTCCGTATCACGGTTCTTACGGAGCGGTTTAGTTTACTCGTTAGCATAAACCGCGCGAAAATTGTGTGGCCTTGAGGACGGTGCACCGTCAGAGAACATGGAACACTTGCAATTTCGTAGCAAACGTTGGGCTCGGTACACCGAAAACCGATTTTCCTGTACGGTGTGCTGTGCGTAGAGGCCGCCTTTGACACCGTACGCGTCCTCGCCGCCAGGACAGCCCTCGAACAAACCAAAAGGCTTTCAATTCATCGGTTCTTCAGGGAAAGTCACATTCCCCGCATCGATACAAATACCTCCTCGACTCATATGTCCCTGCAACACGTGCAACAGCTGCAGATGATTCCTCACTTGCCTCCTGTTGAAACCTTTGCCATTGCTACGTATTAAGTACTTTGGTATCACATTTATGTTCTTACAACACGTGCAACAGCAGCAGTTTATTCCTCACCTCTACGTGTCAGTACTAATAGTTTGGTAGCACACGTTCCTGCAACACGTGCAACAGCAGCAGATGATTCCCCACTTTGCGTCCCGTTGAAACCTTTGCCATTTACTAGGACGTAACGCTGGGCAACGCTACGCATTTCTTGGGTTGAACCAAAATAGGTGGCTCTCAGTCGACCTAGACAACCAGTCGCTCTCCCCCACGAGCAGCTTGGACAGATGCAGCTTTAGCCTCCCCAATAGACTGAGCTGCAAGCAGCAGCTCCCCCAACTCGTGGCCAACTTCTTGATGTATCTCCGGGAAAAGAACGGGGTTAGACCTGAGGAACATGACGATATCTCGACACGGTCGGGCGTCATTGACTGCGGAAGATTGTTGTATATACACGAGTTCCGAGGGTAAGATCTCACGGAGCGGAGCGGTTTTTTCGTTCATGTCACGTATCGGAGCGGTTTCCCTCCTAGGGAAGATCTCACGGAGCGGAACCGGACGGTTTAACCACTCCGCTCCGTGAACACCCCTGGTATTTTCATGTCCGGCCGGCCCCCCAGGGGCGGCCTCTATCGAAGCACAGCTTATTTTGCTGTTGCGCAGGAGACAGAATCACTTCTGTTCGGACGGTGACAGCAGTAGTCCCGTCACGATACCACGTGGCACGGCGATGAATGGTCGTTCCGACTGTCTCCCGATGCGCGACAGCAGCAGTGGGTGTCCCACAACTTTAAGGGGCTCTTTCGAGGTTAAAGCGTGCCCGCACGTGCCCGTGCAGCACGCCGTCGGATGCGCGCCTAAGGACAAGCTAAACCCTTTCTTCGCCATAACTGGACGAAAATGACGTCAGGTCCTGTACACTTCTGCTGTGAAATCATCCCTGTTTTTTAGCCTGGCCTGCTGTTTTATCTGTGGGTATGTATTATATATTTGTTGTTGTTTTTGTCGTTGTGCGTAATTTAAAGAAGATTTGCTCTTGTTTGTTCATCACTTTAATCGGCGCTGACAACTTTTCTGCTGGGTAGGAGCTGCTCCATTCCGTGGTCACACCGACGGGTTGCCCTCCCTGAGCCCCCCCCCTCCTGCAATGCTTGTGTAGCATAAATCGCTTCTTGCAATCGATCTGTTGTTGATCCTATGATCTGGGTTATACACCGATGGCAGAGATGCAAAATGACGTGTTAGTCTCCCTCGTCTTTTTATTCTACTGTACCTCTCGTGATTGAATGGACAACGCCTGCTGTGGATGATTTGAGAAACAGAGAAAAAGACAAGTAGACAACAACAATATTGAAGCGCCACATGTCCCTGATACATTCGTTCCTGGCAGGTGTTCGGATGGGATGAGGACGGGGAGATCGAGCTGCACGATATACTCTGCACCGAAAACACGGCCACCGGGCACGGTGGCTGCCTGTACGTCGCCGGCGTAGGGGTAGTCAACAACGGAACTGTCATGATCACAAACGAGGGCAAATACGGCGGCTGCATCTGTGAGTCGGGGGGCGGGGCAGGTGTTCGCGTGCCTGTGGTGTTGCGAGTCTAGACGCGTTGCGATTTGTGTGGTATATAGTGTTGCCTACCACGGGCTGTGCTAGATGTATGCAGCGAACGGGGTGTTACATTTCTTCCGGAGAGCGACGAAACAGACTTGTGCCGTTGGTTCTTGCGAGATTTTGCCATCGGGTCGTGTACACGTAGGAGTGGTCGATCCAATTGCAAGGGCAACATGTGCTACTCGAATCTCCCTTGAGCAATTCCAGAGAAGAGCGCCGGTGGCGATGCACCGGTTCACCGTCCTCCCTCCCACGGTGGTCACTGGCACTTGAGAGTTGAGGGGGAGTGTCGATGCATGCATACATGCCCCCCCCCCCCCCCGACATGCCCTGGCGTTGTGCCGTACTACCCATGCCGTGCTATACAATATACCCCTCCGCCCTATCTAAACCTTCAATGTGTGTTGGCACTGCTATTGCTGACTTTGTGTCCCTGGGTCACTACCACCGCCCTTAAACGGGGTG